ATATATCAATTCAATGGAGAATTTTACACTAAATACGATGGTATATATGAAAACATTGTTAACTTAAATTATATTGCCAAAAACCCCAATTTAGTGTATAAAATATGAAAAATCACAATATTTAAGTACAATTTTGAGTTTTTCTAAATATTATCTACATTATCGTATTCTGTGTTAAATTATCTACCAAATTGATAGAATACATGCCAAGATTGATAATGTTAATTTTTCCGTTAAATGTAGTCACATTGAAGAATCATAATTTTTAATTACAGCCACAACGGGTATTATGATTAGATATGAAAAGAGATTTAGTGAGAATCTGGAAAATATAATTTATATTGTCCTGAGACCTCTGGTCCGACGGCAGTGGCCAATTGTAACGGGAAAAATTAACATTATAAATCATGGCATGTGTTGTATCAATTTGGAAGTGAAATTAATGCAGAATACGATAATATAGATAATATTTAGAAAAACTCAAAATTGAACTTAAATATTGTGATTTTTCATATTTTATACACTAAATTGGGGTTTTTGGCAATATAATTTAAGTTAACAATGTTTTCATATATACCATCGTATTTAGTGTAAAATTCTCCATTGAATTGATATATCACAAGTGCATATTTATAATGAAAGTTGACCCGATAAAAGTGGTCACTGCGGTCGAATCCGAAGTTACAGGACAATATAAGTTACATANACTAAATTGGGGTTTTTGGCAATATAATTTAAGTTAACAATGTTTTCATATATACCATCGTATTTAGTGTAAAATTCTCCATTGAATTGATATATCACAAGTGCATATTTATAATGAAAGTTGACCCGATAAAAGTGGTCACTGCGGTCGAATCCGAAGTTACAGGACAATATAAGTTACATATTCGGACTCCTCGTTGAAAGTTATATAAGAATCAAACACTTCTTGATTTAAAATGGATTAAAATGTCAAAATTCACTTAATATGTATTCACAATAATAACCGTCTGGACCTTTATGACATAGAATACGTAACCCATAAAGGGCCAAAAACATGTAACATTGTATGTGAAGGGAAAATAGTAAGTCTCTGCCTAATGTTTGGTCTCAGACTGTCATCAAGTGATTGATTGAGTGATTGGATCAGTTGTATGAAGACAAGCCATTGTATGCTTTCACTCATTCGTACACATGTTTAATGATCTGAAAATCTAATGCCAATCGTGTTGTCTATTGATCGCGTGATTACTGGTTATAAGTCATACAATAAAAGCAAGTCTTGAATGTTATATAACAGTGGACGCAATCATTAGTGCATTACTATTGCATTACTATTGCATTATTGCATTACAATGGCATTGATGTTGACGTGACTTCACATTGCATTGCAAACCAATGAATCAATTCATTTGAACACAACTTGATTGCCACTAAACCAAAGCTCTAAGCAAATAGGCTCTCATTGTGCCGTAATTGCCACCAATTGATCCATTGGTCACATTTGCAACCAATCAATCCATACGTGTAGGCAATTGAGCGCCAATTTGACCATTAATTAGTGTCTAAGTGTTGCCGGCAGTGGACAGGGAGTGGACAGGGAGTGCAATGGGAGCACAGGTGTCACGCAATGACTACGAATGGGTAAACATTTGTTTATGTAATGCATGTCAATACTGCTATCGATGTTAAGTAAGCACTCAAATGATGATCACTGCTGTGTCTGTATGTCCAACAGGTCTTCACTGACGAACCACACGCCACCCGAAGAGCTCTAATTCTGGCCAAATATCCGCAGATAAAGAAGTTGATGAAAGTGGACCCACACTTCAAATGGACAGTACTTCTCATGGTTTTGACGCAAATCGTGTCGTTTTATTTGCTGAGAAACACGACATCCTTTTGGTTGCTACTAGTGGTGGCCTATTGTTTCGGTGGTGTTATCAACCATTCATTAATGTTAGCCATTCATGAGATATCACACAATCAGGCCTTTGGTGCCTCACAGCCGATGGCCAACAAGATTTTCGGTAAGGATTTGGTTATATAAGAAAGTTATTGGTTATTTGGTAACAAGTTATCTTGGTCACTCAAACCAGGCATTATAGCCAACCTTCCCATCGGTTTTCCGTTTTCGGTGTCATTCAAGAAGTACCACATAGAGCACCACCGATTCCAAGGAGACGACATCCTTGACACCGACATTCCGTCCCGTTTCGAAGCTCAGGTATTCACGACCACGTGGACCAAGGTGATCTGGGTCATTCTGCAGCCATTCTTCTACGCTCTGCGACCGCTGTTCGTTCACCCGAAGAAACCCACTCTTCTCGAGTTCGCTAATGTCGTCACTCAGCTGTCGTTTGACTTCGTCATCGGCCAGACACTGGGCTGGCATGTCGTGGCGTATATGGTGTGCGGCTCACTCATAGCCATGGGTTTACACCCAGTGGCCGGACATTTCATATCCGAGCACTACATCATGTTTAAGGAGAACAAGGATCAGGTCCTCA